TCCATCCCAACCCTCTCAACCTCTTCAACCAAACAAAAGACTGGGTCGGCTCCACCCCACTCATCCAAACACGAGATAGATCGGCTCCGACCCATAAAAGTGGGTCGGCTCCAACCCAACCCACATCGTCCCAAAACCAAACACATGCTAAGAGTTGCGAGTACAGCTTTCTCCAGCCCTCTGAGTACGGGCGGTCGGTTCGCATTCAGATCCAGGATTACACGGGCATGATGTGTGAAGAAGCTGCGGAGGAGATATTTGGCTGCAGGGGAAGGGACCTCAAGTCGCTGAAGTACAATGAGCAAGGTTTTGCACAGCTGCACGATATCTTGCTGGGCGCCGTGTGTAAGCAGTATGTGTTCCAGCTGAAGATCGAAGGACGGTCGCCGGCGGCATTGTTCTCAAGGCAGAGAAGGTGAATCCATCGGCCTAGTCCCACCGCCTCCTGGGGCAGATCGACACGCTTCTGCAGGAGGGTTCAGGTTCAGGTTTGGAGCTTCACAGCCCCACCATGCCCACCTACACTGGTTCGCTGGATTCACGGTCACGGGTCTGTTCAAGCGTGCGGCCATCCTCCAACTCCATAAGCAGTGACTGCGCTGATTCACCACAGCTGAGGGCCCTTATGATTCAGCAGCCGCAGACGAGCCGTGATCGTGCAGGAGCCGCTAGGCGATTCGTAGGTGAAGCTGCTGTTGGGTGCATGGTGGTTGGTTGTATCAGGATGGTGCGTTAGCAATGCCGGGACTGTTGTAGTACTCTAGTCGCTTAAGGCCTCGTTCAGTTACAGTGCCTAAAATTTTAAGGTGTCACGTCGGGTGTTACGTAGAGGTGTCGTATGAGGTGTTTGATACTAATAAAAAACAAATTACAGAATCCGTCAGTAAACCGTGAGGCGAATTTATTAAGCCTAATTAATTCGTCATTAGCACATTTGTTAGGTTTAAAAATTCGTCTCGTAAAGTAGTCACGATCTGTGTAATTAGTTATTTTTTAGTCTATATTTAATATTCCATGCATGTCTTTAAACATTTGATGGGATAGGGTGTAAAGTTTTGAAGATAAACTAAACCAGGCCTAAGGCCCCGTTCGTTTTGCTGAAAAAACAAACCAAAACATTATTCCGGCTGATTTATTGTGAGAGAAAAATATTGTTCCAACTGAAAAAAAATAAGCTAAAAAATATGGATTATAAGACAAACGAACAGGGCCGGGGGTGTATGGCTCCGAGTCTCCGACGACAAAATGTTTTACTACTCCCGTCAGTATTCAGCCTATTCGTTTGGCTGTGGCTTGTCGTAAACGATCACAAATTTTTAGCCAGAATAGTATTTTTCTCTCACACAAACTAGCCAGTAGTACTTCTTTACGAACAGCAACGAAACGAATCAGCCAATTGAACAGGCTAATTATGTGCTAGTAGTAGGAAGGGTCGGATGGCTCCGGCATGTCATGAATCGGTGTATGTTTATTAGTGCTTGTTTAGTTCAAAAAGTGCTACAGTAGTCATCACATCGAATCTTGCGATACGTGTATAGAACATTAAATATAGACGAAAAAATTAATTGCATAATTTTATTGAAAATTGCGAGACGAACGTTTTGAGCCTAATTAGTCCATAATTGAACACTAATTGCCAAATAAAAATGAAAATACTACAATAGCTAAATTTTCAAAATTCGGGACTAAACACAGCCTTATTATCTTGCAAGGACCTTGTGTTAGTATGTGTTCAGTCGGTGCATGCCAATATGCTGGAATGAATCTTAACATTAAATTGCTTGTTATCTTGTTGGAATGCCCAGCCGGTGCATGTCAGAGGTGTTTGATCCGGTGACTAAAGTTTAAGATGTGTCATATGGGGTTGTCGTATATATGTTTGGATACTAATAAAAAAACAAATTACAGAATCCGTTAGTAATCTGTGAGACGAATTTACTAAGTCTAATTAATCCGTCACTGGCACATGTTTACTGTAGCACCGTATTGTCAAATCATAGACTAATTAGGCTTAAAAATTTTATCTCGCAAAATAGTTTCAATCTATACATTAAGTTTCGTAATTAGTCTATATTTAATACTCCATGCATGTGTCAAATATCTGATGGTACAGTGACTAAAGTTTAGAAGGTGGAACCAAACACCCCTTAGTCTGGGAGGCAACGATTTCATCTCGACATTGACACTCTGTATTATGCATGAAGTTTCTGATGTTTCATAGCAGCAGTGCCAGGTACAGGTTCTGCAAGCGATCATCATCTGTTAGCCCACGGAGCCCAAGGATGCATAGAGCCAACTCTATGGGTTTAGAAAAAAAAAATCTAAAGTAATTCTCGTTTTTTGAGAAATCAAACGGTTTGAATTTTGACTAAATTTATATAAAAAATACAAATATTTATGATATAAAGTATGTACCATTAGTTTAGTTATAGAATATATTTTTTTAATAAATTTATTTAGAGATATAAATGCTAATAATATTTACTATAAATTTGATCAAATTTAAACTTATTTGACTGACACGTATTCCATGATTACGTTCGTTTTCGGACGAAGGTAGTATTTTGCTTTCTTCAGCTATCGCAGAAGTTAGCTTTTCCTTGCCCAGTGTCTCAAGTATCGTAAAAGTCAGAGCCGCACAGGCATGGCTAGTGCTGCTCCTGTGCGCTCGCCCCGTGTGGTCTTTGCAGCATGGTAACTTTTTTTTTTTTGAGGGATTCACTTTGGAGCATGGCACATTGGCACCTAGTTTGATTTGATGGGAAAAAAATGTTTCCAAACAATCCAGCATTAATTGTATGGACTTGTTCCACTGTAAGAACTTTAGCTTATTTGTAGTGCCAGCAACTGTATTTTTTCTCTGTTAGCACTGTAACAACTACTGTTTTTTTTGCTAAAAATGTACAAGCAAGCAGACCCGTATCTATAATTGTCGATGAAACCTGGTCGGCAGTCTACCGAAGGGTATGCCCACGACAGTAGATGAATCTGTAGAGTGCGCGTGAGAAAACTAGATAGTGACACAGAACGCAAGAGACAGCAATTTAGACAAGTTCAGGCCATCAGCTCGACGTAATACCTTACGTCCTGTATCTTTGTGTATTGTATTGCTTGAGATTGGATTGAAACGAGGGGGTCCCTACTCACCTTATATAGCCGGGGATAGGATTACAGATCGGTAGTTTCCTTTTTGGTAAGATTACGAGATAGGGAGTTACAGATTACTTGCGGTCTGTTGCAACCGAGCAGATTTAGCAGGCTATCTGAAGATCGATCGGTTGCCTTGTAGAATGCGGCGTACGAGCTGGACTCCTGCGACCGGCATCGCCCAATACGTAGCCTCACATGCTAGGCCTCCCTAGGCAGCTCGGCCCACGCGTGGCTTTGTGCGCTGGGCCTCTCCTGGCGGCTCGGCCCAAGTGTAGACCTGTGGGTACGGAGGGTTATGACCCGCACAACAATGGAAATAGAGAATTGCTATATCAATACCTATTCCTTTTATTTTTTTCCAGGTGGTGAATAGCATCTTAATTAAATTCAACCGTTCACAGCTTAGGGACTGTTTAGTTGCTACCCTAAGAAACTTGTCTGGCTCAGGCAACGATGTCCAACCACAGACAACTAAAATCCAACACATGAGATTGTTGCGTGACCCACGAACTTTCTCATCAGTGTCCAAACTAGGGCCTAAATAAGCCCTAAGTCTTACTATTCTTCTTTCACCTCCCCGGCCCCTTCTTGGCGCAACTGCTGTCCTCCTCCGCCCATGGATGACGGGGCTCGAGTCTTCTTAGCTCAGCCAGTCAGCCCAAGGATCTTTCTATGCCCGTAGGGAGAGCATGACTCGAATCTGTTTTTGATGTAAGAAGAGCGACGCCTAAAACAAATCTCGATTTCAAACAACAGTAACATAGATCTCTTAAGCTACTGGCCCACCGGGGGAGAGCGGGGTGATGGTGTATGACTTTGTAAGACAACAACAACAATGCATAAGATATGAATGTGGCTAGTTGAAATTGTACACAAGCATATCATTCTCTTCTTAGGCCTTGTTTAAATCTATGATGTAAAGTTTGGAGGTGTCACATGAGGTGGGTATGGGGGTGTTCGGATACTAATAAAAAAACAAATTACAGAATCTATCAGTAATCTGTAAGACAAATTTATTAAGCCTAATTAATTCGTCATTAACACATGTGTCACTGTAGCACCACATTGTCAAATTATGGGCTAATTAGGTTTAAAAGATTCGTCTCGCAAATTAGTCGCAAACTGTGCAATTAGTTTTTTTAGTCTATATTTAATATTCTATGCATGTGTTAAACATTCGATGGGATAAAGAGTAAACTTTTGAGCGAGGAACTAAATAAGGCCTTAATTTTTGCTTTTCTTCATTATAAATAAAAACTTGTTTGATATGGCTCCTCTTCTACTACTCTTTCAGAGGAGCTAAGCATTCGAGAAAAAGTCACAAATGGTAGCTCCTCATCCGCGACCCAATTCACAAAGCGTCTCGAACTCCTCCAATATTCAATATAAAAAGTTTGGTATAACTCTTCGGAGCCTACAGTAAGCTCTCGTTGTCCATTCTCGTCATTTTGGGCATGCTTGATTAACTTCCAAAATTTGTCGTATAAAAGATTTGGTAAGTCAACAGTTAAAAAAATATTACTATAGATTTAGTAAGCCAAACGAGAGAGTTTGACAAATTTAATAGTAAACTAAATACTTACTAAAATTATAGCTCGACAAATAACGCGGCATATTTTGGAAGGCAAGCAATCAGACCCTTCCACTTCGCCGCCCCAACCAGACCACCGTACACTCCTCTCCATTACTACAAGTCTGCTGCAACCGCGACTGCGAGGGCTACCTCCTGTCTCTCTCTCTCTCCCTCTCCCTCCCTCTCTCTCTCTGCATTCTGCACCAAGATACCTCCGAGTTCCTTGCATCTCCGTTCCCCACTGCGCCCGGTGCTGCAGCTGGCGGACGCGCCGCAGATGGCCGGCGGCGGCCCGGCTTCGGAGGCTGGGCGGTACCGCGTCGCGCTCTGCGACGGCGGCTCGCGCCTGCATCCGGGGATGCTCGCCGCGTCCCTCAACCACCTCGTCGCCCGCGGCGCGCTCCGCCGCGGCACCGTCATCCGCGTCCTCGAGTACTTCGCCGGCTTCAGCCGCACGCAAAGGTGACGGATCGGTCCGTCTCGCATGATCGCATCCCGCCCCCCTCCTTCCTCTCTATGCTACCCTAACCTAACGGCTAGCGCGCCCGTCAGGATCCACATTGGACAGTTCTTGTGCGCCGCCGCTGTGCGCGTCCGTCAGGATCCACATTAGTCACAAGTTACTACTGTAGAGATGCCTAGGATTTCGTGCCTTTTTTATTTTTGTGCTACTGAAAATCTTGCCACGGCGTCCAGCAACCCTTCGTTACGTTCATTCGTCGCCCTAGGGGTGGCCGATGGGGTTTTTGTGACTGCGCAGTGACAGATCCAACGTTACTGCATGGCTTGCCAACAAGCGCTGGGTTTTTTTTTTTTGTTACCGGAATGCATGCGGGGCTGTTCTCCGTTTTGGGGGTTTTGGCACCAGCAGTGAGGAGCTGAGCTATCGATCATAAAAATGTATTGCCTTTTTTTTTTCCTTATTACTGTGTCTATGGATGTGCCTTTGCATGGAATCGGCAAAGTGCCAGTGACCCCTCTGTGGTCCTTGCTCCTTTAGTCTTATATAGGTTTGGTTATGCGCATAAGGTTTTGTATTTATAGCATATCAATTTACTGATCAGATCATGCTGTAATTCCTTTCTTTGTAGTCTGAAACCACACAGATTTTTTAGTCTGTTACTGCACCATACTCTGAAAAGTAGAACTAAAATCATCGGTTTATTTGGTCGGACGTGGTTTGGGTTTCTTATTAGTTTGTTACTGAAATGGCCATAACTGCCTATGTTGCATTTCCACTTGCATTTGATGTAGGAGTATATGCTTGTACATTACTGATTCAGATGGGGTTGTCTGTCCATTTTTACTTTCTTATCAGAAGTTACAAATTCCATGGAGTTCCCAACTTGTCAACCAATTTTCTTAAGTTCAAAATAACTTTTTGTTCACACATTTTCTACATAATAAAGGGCAAAGCTCTCAGCTTTGAGCGAAATATTCTTCCGTTATTTATTTCACTGCTCTAGTTGGTTTGTCACAAACATTACTGCATGGACTGCCAACAAGGACTGCATTTTGTAGTTACCAGATGCATGCGGGTGTGCTCTCCATTATTTGGTTTTGGCACCTGCAGTGAGACCTTAGCAGTCGATCAGAACCTTATTGACTTCTGCGTCACATCTGTGTCGAGTACATCAATTTACATGCAATGGAGAGCTATATGCATCAGATGCATCAAATGTACAAGCCATAGCAGGGCCGTCCCACAAATTTCATGGGCCCTTGGGCCAGTAAGACACTAAGACAGTATACACATGGGTATAACGCACTGTTAGCAGATCATGGGCCCCTGGGCCAGTAAGACACTAAGACAGTATACACACTAAGATAGATAGCAGATCGGTTAGCAGATCATGTTACTATAACGCACTGTTGTCTTGCCAGCGTATGGGCTGATAGCATCTACTATACAGTATACACATGGGTACCCTCATGGGCCCCCAGCCTCATGGGCCCATGGGCATCGCACAGGCTGCCCCCCCCTATAGGACGGGCCTGGCCATAGGCCCAATGCTCAGTGTTGTTTCAGACTAAACTGTCAGACCATGGATTTTGTCTTTTACTGCAACAGACTTTAAAAAGTGAAACTGAAATCATCAGTTTTATTTGGTTCAATGTGGTTCTGGGTTTCTTAGTTTGTCACTGAAATGGACACAACTGTTTATGTTGCATTCCCACTTGCATCTGGTGTATATATGCTTGTACATTACTGATTCAGATGGGTGCACTCATACGTTTTTCCTTTCTTATTTGATGATACAATTCCATGGAGTTCCCGACATGTCAGTTTTCTTTCCTTAAGTTCGAAAATAACTTTTTGTTCACATATTTGTATCGCTACATATGCTAAACTAAAAGGCAAAGGTCTGAGCTTTAAGCTAAATGTTCTTTTATTATTTGTTTCACTGCTCTAGTTAGTTTATCAGAAACAGGCTCACTCTTTCTTCCTGTATAACTATTATGTTTTTCTAACTTGCTGGTCCTGTTCAAATTTCTTTCTCCATTTATATATGTCCTGCAATTCTAAGTTCATTACTCGAAGTAAGCATATTTTCCTTTTCCGGATGAACAAACTCCTCACATATCATATCCCACTAAATCTGCTTGATGTGTTTCGTGAATTAATTCTAAACAATTATAATTGGCTGTTCCCTGACTATTTTTCCTTCTCTGTCTTGGTTTCTTCATTCAGGGTCATTATTGTTATCCAACTTGAGATACTGCACGCTGAGTGCATGCTAATCCGCAGTCCCACAATCTTTGAGGCCAATGCAAGTCAACATATTGGTGTATCCTGTTCTGGTGGTCTTGCCATCCATGAACCTTGCTTCATGCCATGTACTCAGCAAGTTATTAGCAACTCGTCATGTTCTCCTAATAAGGGAGTGTTGGATTCTACAGTTACACCAAGGGCAGAACCTACTGTGATTAATCTGCCATTCAGTGAATGTTTTTTGTTCAATGCCAGCACAGAGCACAGTAGAAGGCAAGATGCAGCAGCTTTCATTGAATGATCATCAAAACCAAAGGTTTATGAAGACTGCCACAGGTGATGGATTGACCCTCCTGGAAACTCTTATGCAAACCCAATGCTAGCTTCTTATCTGTACGATTCACCAGGGCTCTCAGGCACGATGGCGGCGTGGCTGACGCCCGGCGCGGTGGTGGCGGTCTCCGAGCACAGCGACGGCAATGGGACGCTGCAGCCGGTGCTGCAGGTGGTGGACGTGCGGATGGTCAAAAACGTCGAGAACCCCTCCGCCGAGTGCTTCCGGATGGTGCTCTCCGATGGCGTCTACACGATGCAGTCCATGCTCGCCACCGCCGAGAACATGCGTGTCCGGGATGGCTCCATCCAGAAGGGCTCAATTATCCACCTCCAGGAGTTCACCTGCAGCACCATCCAGAACCGCAGGTGAGGATTAGTTATTAATCCTTCGCTGCGCTCGATTCCCCGCTTCATCCCTGGTCCGAGTCGCAGATTTGTTTTATCTTGCTGCGTGCCTAGTAGAAAGGTTGAATCTTGGTTTACCTCCTGCACGATTCGCTCAATGTTCGGTGCTGTAAAACCTGCAGCATGTTAGACTCGTGCCATATTGTTGCGAACTTTGTGACGTTTCCGTAGGAGATTTGCGGCTACCGCCTTGGAAAGATAGGTTGGGATTCGGTGGTGGTAGAAAATGGTATTTGGTCGATGTGGTACTAGGGTTTATGGTCATTCCAGTCCACACTCCGGGAAGTCTTGTTGATAGTTTTCCACTACCTTTAGATTAGCCTCGGACTAGGTTAAGTTCGCCACAATGGAGTCCAATAACTTTCAGCCAGTTATATTCTTGTTTCTGTCAAGGTTGTTGCGCTTCGCTGCATGTGTTTTTTCTTTGGTCCTAGAATCCACATGGATGTTATTTTCCCTTGAGTAAAGCTCATGGCCGGTCCTTAAACTTGTGAGGGTGTGTCATCCCGGTCCTCCAACTCAGAAAGTGTGTCATTTCAGTCCTTAAACTCTGTTTGGGTCTCATATTCATACAAACGGGTATGGATCCATGCCCGCATACCGAGATAAGACTTGATCGCTTCAAATAGAAGTTCAGCGGGGCTTATATATAAAATCGTCTAGACACAAAAATTACACAAATATTTCTAAATTTCTTGAGGGGTTCTTTTGAAAAAAAGTCGCCTTCTTCCTCTCACATGCTGTGATGCCGCGGCCGCTGCTGGGCAGGCGCGGGTGAGCCACCGCCGTGGCCGCGTAGGCACACGAGCGAGCAGCCGACGTAGCGCCGTCAGCTCGCCGCCGAGGGCGTCGCCACGCCAGCCGATGCCGCGCTCATGATGCAGCTCGAGTGCGACTGCAGCTTCGTCGGCTCCGGCATCTTCAACAGCGACCGCAATTATCCTGCCCCGACGTCAGCGCGGGTGCCGTGCGCGGTGGTGCCGGCGGAGGTGGCGCGGCACCACGAGCACGCTGTGTGTGCAAGCCACCGTGGGCTGCTGCTGTGCCTGCGGTGTTGCTGCTGTTGCAACCTAGGCGGCGGCGGGGAAGCTGGCTCGCCGGTGTGGCTACGGCAGCTCGCGCGCGTGGCTGTGATAGTGGCTGTAGGCACACTGACCAGCAGCAGCACAGTGGCTTGCACAGCAGCACGCCGACAGACCGGACAACACGTAGCAGCACGCCGACGGACCAAACAACACGTAGCAGCACGCCAACGAGACCGAACAGCAGCACGTAGCGACGGACCGAACAGCAGCAGCACGCGCGTGGCTGTGATGGTGGCTCGCACATGGACTGATCAGCAGCACACCGACTAGACAGCGGCACAGCGATGAGCTAGCCATGGCCATGAGAGAGGTGAGAGATGAGAGATAGAGATGACATGTGGGCCCATACCCGTTTGGATGAATATGAGACCCAAACATAGTTTAAGGACCGAAATGACACACTTTTTGAGTTCAGGGACCGGGATGACACGCTCCTACAAGTTTGAGGCCCGGCCATGAACTTTACTCTTTCCCCTTTGTCATTAGCAATTTTCAATTGAAAGAAAACTGTCAAACGGGCAAAGTTTCTTTTATTCTTTATAGACTTTCTATGCTGTTGATGATCCTTAGTGCAGTGAAAGGGTGGTGTAGTTTTGTGCTAGTAGTTACAAGTCGGAAAGCTCTTATTCTGGCATCCATGTCAAATCAGTAAAACTGTCACAACATGTTCTGCTGTGACCATTCAAATGAGTCATAGAAGTAGCTCTTTTAAGATATGACGAGTCTGAACCTTGTAGACTCTCGTGGGCGTTACTAAACTGTGCACAATTATTGAATTCTAATGAATTACCATACATCAATAGAATGTGGATTTACTGATATGCTGAATTTTAAGATCTGAAGTGGGTTACTGTTGTTTCATGAATATTTCAAGAATCATTGTGTCCCCTACTTATTTGGTTCTATGATTTGAGTCAATTCTTTGAAATACCTATTTCTGCTAGAGCTGACTAGGCATCTCCTAAAGAGAAGAATATCGTATTTGAATTTTAGTTTGTTGACACCTTTCTGTGGCTTGCCTCTTGTCAGTTGAGTTGACCATGCCTTTATCTTTTGTTCAGGTTCATTATTGTTAGCAAACTTTATGTTCTGCAAAGTGAGTGCAACATAATGGGAAACCCCAAACCCTATGAGATGAGGAACCAACCTAATGAGCAGGTCACCAACTTACTGGCCAATGCTGCTCAAGCTAATACTGGCATTACCCCTGTTAGTGCATTGAACCCATACCAAACTATATGGAAGATCAAGGCTAGGGTAACTGCAAAGACTGATCTGAGGCACTACAACAGCTCCAGAGGTCCCGGAAATGTCTTCTCCTTTGATCTCCTTGATGGACAGGGTGGAGAAATCCGTGCAACATGCTTCAATGCGCAGGCTGATCAGTTTTTCGACCTCATTGAAGTTGATAAGGTGTACCTGATATCTAAAGGGTTGGTGAAACCAGCACAGAAGAAGTTCAACTCTTTGAATCATGAGTATGAAATAACTCTGGATTTCAAAACATCTATCGAAGTCTGCATTGATGATGATAGCAACATCCCTAGGCAGCAGTATAATTTCCGGCAGATAAGCGAAATTGAGAACATTGAGGCAGGTGCTATAGTGGATTTGGTTGGGATTGTTACATCAGTTGGTCCTTCTGCCATGATAATCCGAAAGGATGGCTCAGAAGCCCAGAAAAGAACTCTTCAACTGAAAGACATGTCTGTTCGGAGCATGGAAATAATCCTTTGGGGCAAATTCTGTGATGCAGAGGGACATCAACTGCAGTTGTTGTGTGATTCAGGTTCAAACCCTATACTGTCTCTCAAAGGTGGCCGTGTTAGTGATTTCAGTGGTAGATCTGTGGTCACAATCAGCTCAACTCAGTTAAAAGTAAACCCAGACTTTCCAGTGGCTGAAAGGCTGAAGCAGTGGTACATAACTGAAGGAAAGAATACTGCTTGCATTTCTTTGTCTCGGGGAATATCAAACATGAGCGGGAATCATGTGCTGAAAACAATTGCACAGATCAAGGATGAGAACCTGGGGCGATCAGATAAGCCTGACTTCATCACTGTCAGGGCTGTACTCTCACATGTGGGAGCTGATAAATTCTGTTATCAAGCTTGTTCCTTGGAGCTTAATGGTAAGCGATGTTGTTCCTTGGATCTTAATGGTAAGCGATGCTACAAAAAGGTGATGGGACATGGTATTGTGATAAATGCAATCAGCGCACTGAAAATTGTGAGTACAGGTACATGCTTTCGTGTCAGATCAAGGATCACACTGTTACTACTTACGCTACTGCATTCCAAGAGGCTGGTGAAGCAATATTTGGCCACACGGCGCAAGAGCTTTTCATGATACGAAATGTAGAACAAGATGACCTGAGATTCACAGAAATCATGCAGGCGGTCCTTTGGCGTGAATACCTATTCAAGCTGAAAATCGATGAGCAAACCTATAACGGTGAGCAGCGTGTGAAATGCACCATCATTGGTGTCAAGAAGCTGGAAGAGACCAACAACCTTTTGAAGGATGTTTCGCACCCAATTCTGAAGGATGATTCGTCCTACACCCCAAACGTTGGCTCTGCCAATTTGGAAGCTAGACAGAGCATGCTAACCTCCAGCAATGCTAACCTCCAGCTAGACAGAGCAAGCTACAGCTCCAGCATGCTAACCTCCAGCAATGTGGGTGCCACAGGCTTTGCACAGTCGAACTGGATGCCTACTCCACCATCAGCTTCATCCGATGGTTGTGATTTCAATGGTGGCTTTGGCTTTTTGGATCAGTCGGCAGTGAGGGGAGCCCCACTGTGCTTCAAATGCATCCAGCCTGGGCACTGGTTTAAGGACTGCCTTGTCTGAGGCACTTCAGTGCCTTGGCTCATCCAGGAGGTCGCTGGAAATACCTCTCATACCAAATAGCTCTATCGGTTGCTTTTGCTTAGTAGGCTGGAGTCCTACTTTTTCATGTGCAGTTATATTTTCAGTTCCTATCTATATATCTATGTGCCTGGTTCCTATGGACCAGGTGGTTAGTACTTAGTAATATGCAGGAGGTTGCTGGAAAAACCTATGTCCTTTGCAAGCCTGCCTTATTGTGGAACCTGTGGTTTGTAAGCAACTGATGGCTAGTAGTTTTCATCTTATGTTGAAGAATGTTTTTATATATTTGTTCTGTCCAAGTCCAATCGACAGTTATTTTTTTTAACGGACAGCAGGGGGAGAGAATTCCCACCTGAATTTGTATTGATATATCGTGGCATAACCATAAGGCCTCGCTTCGCTGAAAAACCAAAACCATAACTGAAAGTACTGTTTGTTGATGTGTTGTGAGAGAAAAATAATATCCGTTCGCTGAAAAAGTATGGCTCATAAGATAAGCGAACATAGACTAAAACCAAAACCTAGCTAAACTAGGGGAAAGTACTGTTTGCTTCGCTGAAAAAGTCTTGTTTTCGAGGAAAATAAGGCAAAATCCTTTTGTTCGGATAATTTAGGAAAACCGGAGTAAAACTAAAACCTAGCTAAACTAGGGTAAATATCCACTAGAAATAAAAATCAACCCAGCACATGGACAGGGCAAGAACAACAATCGAAGTTTTGTTGGTGTCTACTTTGCTTCTGTATGCCTGTGAAGCGTTCAGGCAGATGCCCTCTTTATTTTTTTAAATCCTCATGAATTAGGTGTTCGCGTGTAGGAGCAAGGATACTGCACCCGGGCTGGTTGGTGATGGTGATCACCTGTGCTGTGACTAGGAGAATCTGCTGCATTTGATTGCCCGAGGATTATTTGATCTGCTCGCGTGAAAAGGCCCTTTTTATCATCAAAAGGCCGCCGGAGTATATTTTACTGTACATGCTGAAGTCAAGAGAAAGGAGGAAA